CACTTTGGGAGGCCAAGGCGGGTGGATCACGAGGTCAAGAGATCGAGACCATCCTGGTCAACATGGTGAAACCCCGTCTCTACTAAAAATACAAAAAATTAGCTGGGCATGGTGGTGCGTGCCTGTAATCCCAGCTACTCAGGAGGTTGAGGCAGGAGAATTGCCTGAACCCAGGAGGTGGAGGTTGCGGTGAGCCGAGATTGCGCCATTGCACTCCAGCCTGGGTAACAAGAGCGAAACTCCGTCTCAAAAAAAAAAAAAAAGAAAAGAAATACCAAACTAGTCCACACCAAGAGACCAGGGAGGGAGACCATAAGAAGTGTTCCAGTTGATCTTAGGTCCACCTGCAGTACCAGCATCAAGCACCAGATATGTGAGTGAAAACACCTCCAGCCAATCCTGGCCACAGCCCTTGAGTGTTTCCAGCTGAGGCCCCAGATGTTCTAGAGCAGAAGCAAGTGGTTTTCACTATACCCAGCCCGAATCCCTGATTCGCAGACTCTGAGCACAGTGAAATAATTGTTTTATGCCATTCTGTTTTGGGGTGGAATCATAAGTGGAACACCGTGACCAGTGGAATGTGGTGCAGTCTTGTGTGTGCTTGTTTTCAGCCTTGACTTTAAGAGTGTCCCCACCCATCCCTCTGCCCCGCCAAAGTCTCAGACTTCTGCCATGAGAACATGCCCTAGGTGTCCACTGGCCCCAGAACAAAGAGACACACAGAATAAACCTCAGTCCAACTTTTTTTTTTTTTTCTGAGATGAGTCTCCCTCTGTCACCCAGGGTAGGGCAGAGTAGCACAACCTCGGCTTACTGCAGCATCCACCTCCCCAGTTCAAGCGATTCTTGTGTCAGCCGCCCAAGTAGCTGGGAATACAAGTGTGTGCCAACACGTCCAGCTAATTTTTGTATTCTTAGTAGAGATGGAGTTTTCCCATGTTGGCTGGGCTGGTCTCGAACACCTGATCTCAGGTAATCTGCTCCCATTGGCCTCCCACAGCGCTGGGATTACAGGCGTGAACCACCGTGCCCAGCCCTAAGTCCAACTATTATGATCTGAATCGTGTCTCCCCAAATTCATACAAGGATGTTCTAACCCCCAGCACCTCAGAATGGGACTGCATTTGGAGACAAGACCTTTTATTATTATTATTATTTTTTATTTTATTTTGAGAACGAAGTTTTGCTCTTCTTGCCTAGGCTGGAGTGCAATGGCACGATCTCGGCTCACTGCACCCTCTGCCTCCAGAATTCAAGTGATTCTCCTGCCTCAGCCTCCGAAGTAGCTGGGATTACAGGCACACACAACCAACACCAGGCTAATTTTTGTATTTTTACTAGAGATGGGGTTTCTCCATATTGGTCAGGCTGATCTCGAACTCCTGATCTCAGCTGATCTGCCCGCCTCAGCCTCCCAAAGTGCTGGGATTACCGGCGTGAGCCACCGCACCCGGCCGACAAGACCTTTTAAAAGAAGTGATTAAGTTACAATGCACAATACATATTTGTTGAGTGAATGACTGTTGTTGTTGAAACTGCTCTGCTAAATTCTTCCCTTGGCACCTAGGGCATCTATGGAGATGTGCTGCTCAGACTCTTCAAGATAATCTGCTATGAAGAGGGTAGTTGTGTGACCACCTCCAGCTTCGACGCTTTCAGACCTGCTGCAGTGTTCATGCTGAGGCCACCATCTTTCTGGGCCACTCCCAACCAGGGACTGAGCACAATGGGGTTACTAGGTGTGGTGTTTAATATTGAGCATCAACTTGATTGGATGGAAGGATGCAAAGTATTGTTACTGGGTGTGTCTGCGAGGGTGCTGCCAGAGGAGATTAACGTTTGAGTCAGTGCACTGGGAGAGGCAGACCCACCCTCAATCTGGATGGGCACCATCTAATCAGCTGCCAGCGCAGCCAGGTTAAAAGCAAGCAGAGGGGCCAGGTGCGGTGGTTTGTGTCTGTAATCCCAGCACTTTAGGAGGCTGATGTGGGCAGATCACCTGAAGTCAGGAGTTTGAGACCAGCCTAGCTAATATGGAGAAACCCCTTCTCTACTAAATATATGAAAATTAGCCAGGCATGATGGCCCATGCCTATAATCCCAGCTACTCAGAAGGCTGAGACAGGAGAATCACTTGAACCTGGGGTGCAGAGGGTGCAGTGACCCAATACTGTACCACTGCACTCCAGCCTGGGAGACAGTGAAAAAGAGGGGGGAGAGGAGAGAGAGAGAGAGAGAGAATAGAGAGAGAGAGAAGAGGTAAGGAGGGAGGAATCAGACAGAAGAAGGTGGAAAGACTAGACTAGCTAAGTCTTCTGGCCTCCATCTTTCTCCTGTGCTGGATGCTTCTGGCCCTCGAACATCAGACTCTTAAGTTCTTCAGCTCCTGGACTCTGGGACTTACACCAGTGCTTTGCCAGGGCCTCTCGGGCCTTCAGCCGCAGACTAAAGGCTGCACTATCATCTTCCCCACTTTGGAGGTTTTGGGACTCAGACTGGTTTCTAGCCCCTCAGCTTGCAGACGGCCGATTGTGGGACTTCACCTTGTGATCCTGTGAGTCGACTCTCCTTAATAAACTGCCTTTCATATATACAGCTATCCTATCAGTCCTGCCCCTCTAGAGAACCCCGACTAATACACTAGGGATGCGTTAATGTTGCCCAATACAGGACTCCTCTAGTGGGCGATACTTGCTCTGGGACTTCCCACTGGCCTAGCGAAGGCTTTCTGAAAGATGCTGGGCCAGTTATCAATGTACTACCGCTCGGCTCCAGATTCATTCTGCTCTGCACACTGGGGATCAACTGTACTCCTTTGCAGTGAGATGCTGAGCTTTGACACGAGTCCGTGCTGGAAGATACTTTCAGGAGGAGAGGAGGTTTCTGTGTGTATGTGTAGGTCTGTGCACACACACACGCACACGCTGTTCTTGCTCCTGAGTTGTGGTTGCTTAGCCATGAGCCCAGTGTGCATAGCCTAGACCAACACTGCAGCCCTCAGGCCTGGGGACCATCTTCCAGCAATCCTCCTGATGCAGATGCCTCAAGCTTTAGGCCTCACATCTGTAAATGTGCCCCCATTCCACCTGCCCACAAGTTTCAGCTCCCTTGGCCGTCTGAGGGTTGTTCCTGCTTTCTCAGTGACAATGGACCAGCTCTGGCTATAGGCAACCCACCCGACTTCTTGCCATCCAGTGGGCTGCAACCAACCACACCTTCTCCAGGGAGATCTGAACCCCACTTGGGGAGGGAACCCCCTTCTAAGTGTATCTTTCCTTGGGGACTCTCCTTGGATACCTTTTAAAGGTCTCTTTGCATCTTTATTTTTGTTTTAATTTTTTTGAGACAAGGTCTTGCCCTGTTGCTCAGGCTGTAGTGCAGTGGTGAGATCTCGGCTCACTGATGCCACCACCTCCTGGGTTCACGCGAGTCTTCTGCCTCAGCCTCCCTAGTAGCTGGGGTTACAGGGGTGTGCCACCAAGCCTGGCTAATTTTTGTGTTTTTAGTAGAGACTGAGTTTCCATGTTGGCCAGGCTGGTCTTGTACTCCTGACCTCAGGTGATCTGCCCACCTCAGCCTCCCAAAGTGCTGGGATTACAGATATGATCCACACACCCGGCCTTTGCATCTTTGTAGTTACTCTCCTGTGTCAGATTAATATTTTTTTTTTAAAAAAGATGGGGTTTCACCATGATCACCAGGCTGGTCTTGAACTCCTGACCTCAGGTGATCCACCCACCTCGGCCTCCCAAAGTGCTAGGATTACAGGCGTGAGCCACAGCGCCCAGCCAGATTAATAATTTTTTAATATTAAACAACCCCTGTTCAAATTGCTTTGTGGTTTCTATTGCCTGATGGGACTCAATGATCCGGAGGCCGTGAAGTCTGAGTTCGTTCCTGTGCAGTTCTTTCTTGCCTTCTCTTCTTCCACGGGTGTCAGACTTGCGCTGCAGTCTGAAGCTTCTCCCAGCCTACTCCTGCTCCCTCTCTCTTTTATCTCTCATAGGCATTACCCGCAAAAAATCTCTTCACATGGCTAATTCCTTCTTGACATTTGCTTCTCAAAGAACCCAAATGGACGGCCGGGTGCAGCAGCTCACACCTGTAATCCCAGCACTTTGGGAGGCCAAGGCCTGTGGATCACCTGAGAAGTTTGAGACCAGCCTAACCAACATGGAGAAACCCTGTCTGTACTAAAAATACAAAAAATTAACCAGGCGTGGTGGTGGTGCATCCCTGTAACCCCGGCTCCTCAGGAGGCTGAGGTAGGAGAATCGCCTGTAATCCCAGCTCCTCAGGAGGCTGCGCTCCAGCCTGGGCAACAAGAGCAAAACTCTGTCTCAAAAAAAAAGAAAAGAAGAAGAACCCAGATGGGCAGAGGTTCCCATCGCACTTGGAATAAAATCCTTCAGCACTTTGAGAGGCTGAGGCAGGAGGATCACTTGAGGCCAGGAGTTCCAGACCAGCCTGGGCACCCAGCACTTTGAGAGGCCAAGGCACGAGACGGGCGAATGAAGTGCCACCTCCTCCTAGAGGCCTTCACCTGCCACCCCCAATCCCCTTTAGCCTGTCCCCTCATGCTGCTTCGTTGTGTTTCTTCATGGCACTTATTACCATGTAACAAACAACTTACTGCTCTTATTTCTTCATTTTTCTATCTCCCTGCATAGAGGAATGTCTCCTCCATGAGGTCAAGGTCTTTGCCTGCCCTGTTCACTGCTGCATCCCCAGGGCCTGGATTAGAACCTGGCACACAGTAGGGGCTCAGTAGGTATTTGTTAATTAGCTGAAAAAAGGAGTATCCTCACCTTTGATTAAGCCACTTCCTTCACCCCAATGCCTTCCCTTCTTCTTGCCTTTCCTATTCCCACCTAAGCTTTGGCCATAGCCCCTCCACTCCTCCAGGAAGCCCTCTCTGACTATCTGAGTTCTAAGCCCTTCTTGCCCCTCACCTGTTACAACGCTTAATTTTAGGTGCCAGGTAAAGTCTGAAGTGGAGGTTAGAGGCAGAAAAGAACAAACCAGCTTTATTGGGTTAAGGGCAAGGGAGGGGAGATGAGGGGCCGCCAGAGGCTCCCAGCCAGGGTGGAGCCACTGGGAGACAGCTGGGGATGCAAGTCACTTCTTCCACTCCTTCTTCTCATAGTCCCAGTGGGAGGCCAGGCCGTGCACAGGATTGACCTTCATGTCCAGCATGCGCTGCAGCTGCTGGGCTTTCCACTCGTCCGTCAAGGTGATGGGCTTTGGAGGATATACTGCAGGGAGTGCATGGGGTGGGGGAACAAGGGTGGCTCAGGATCCTGCCAACCTTCCTCCACCAGCCAGGGTCTCCAGCCACAGGGTTGGGGTATCTTGCATTGAGGAGCTCCCTCCACCCTGTCTAGCCCCACACCAGACTCTCTCCTAAAGCTTCGTCCCAGGCACCTCTGGGTTCTGATTCCAGCTTTGCCTTAGACTCCAAGGACTGTGGGTGCTGGGCCAATGTCCCTCCCAACTCAGTTGCCTCAACTACCTCTGTGGCCCATGGTAATAAGAGCACTGATTTAAGGGCCGGGCGCGGTGGCTCAAGCCTGTAATCCCAGCACTTTGGGAGGCCGAGGCGGGTGGATCACGAGGTCAAGAGATCGAGACCATCCTGGTCAACATGGTGAAACCCCGTCTCTAC